GCTCAGGCTGGTCTCGAACTCCTGACCTTGAGCGATCCACTGCCTTGGCCTTCCAGAGTGCTACGATTACAGGCGTGAGCCACCGCGCCCGGCCCTCTAGGTGTGTTTTGAAGCCTCCCCAGGTGGTTCTTATGCATAGTCAGGATTCCCAACAGTTCCGTAAGATGATAAAGGATTCCTTCTTATATCCTCTGGTGCAGAGCGCCAAAGGACACCTAGGGATATTTTAGGCAAGAGAGAGCTTGGTTCGTGATTCAGTATCAGACTAATATCCAGGCACAAGCACAGACAACTTCCAACTCCCGCAGTGGGTCAGCCGCAGGACAGAGGCACTTTCTAGCCCTTTCTCATCTGCATCCCAGCTGGTTGCTGCCTCCTACCCCTCTCTGAGCCCTGTGGGGATGTCCACTGTCCTGAGCATGTCAGGGGTCTGGCCCTGGTGGTTTCCATGGCCTTCTGTGCTTCAGGGCACCACTAATGCTTGGCCCTGTGAGGGCAAGTAACCCACATGAGACCACGGGAATGCACCGTCCATGGTCACTGGGTCTCCTGGGACAGCCTGGTGCCCAGCCCACAGCCACAACCAGGGTTGTAAAATTTGGGAATTCCAGGCCTTTGGCCTGGTCAGCAAGAGTGCGCCCCCTCCTCTAGTGGGCCCTTCCAGATCACTTGCTTTTTGCCCTGAGTTCTGTCCTCTCCAGGTTTGTTAGAAATGTCTCATGGAAATTTACTTATAGGAGAATTTGCTTATTTCAGATTAAGAAATGGAACTTAATCTGGGGCCCCTAAGAGCTCTTAAATGGGTTCTCACAGGGAATGGAGCCCTAGGCTAAGTGCTTGGGATTACTGGAAGAAGGGGCTCTTGTTTGGAGGCCCCAGCATATGCTTGAGAAGCAGCCTGGGGTACTCAAGAGAGCCCTGGACTGGCAGCCTGGAGGCCAGGGTACAAGTCCAGGCACCTCCACTGGCTTCACTGGGTCCTGGGGTCCACATCTGGGCTTCAGTGTCTTCCACAGCACTTCTGTGGGTGGCATCCAGGAGCCTGAGGCTGCAGGAGGCCAGCGCTGGATGCACTAAAGTGCTAGAGGTGGGATGGCAGAAGCCACACACACGGAGGAGAGCTTAGCGCCTATGGGAGCAGAAGCTGGCTGCTCTCAAGAAGCAAGGGGTACAGTTCTGATCCTCTCCCTCAGAATTAGGCCAGGACAGGGGTAGAGGCAAGGTGTGCGAGCGTGTCGGGGTATGGATGTTCACAGCGACACTTCAGCTAGTTTTCGCAGCTCACAGTGATGATTCTCGGAGCGAAGAACTGTGCACGTGTCCACATCCTGAAATTACATGGTGTCACCTTGGCCAGTCTGTTGACATATGCAGATTAGGTCTTTATGAGATCCAGAGACTTACAGGGGAGGGGTGGGTTTTGGGGGAGAGGGGAACCTCTTAGAGGAAGGTAGGAAGTGTCTCCAGTACTGTCTGCAAGGAGGGCACCAGGGTATCGCAGGGCTTGTCCTTTGCAGCATCTTCCTGGTTCTGTAGAAGTGCAGCTAGCTGCTGGTTTATTGAAGAGACGGAAGAACTGACCCCCTCCCCAGCAGGGGCCTGTGACCTCTGGTGTGAGGCAACTCACGAAGTGACTTCTGGCCTCAGGATTCTCATCTGGGTAAGGGGAATGGGGCTGGACTGTGTCATCTCTAAGATTTTGTCTGGCTCTGACTTCTTAAGGGTTGTCTGCCCAGGAGCAAGGAATGGAGAGGAGAGTAACGGTTTTATCCCTCATCGTAGAAAACTTTTGAGATAATCGGAGAACACAGTGAAGGCATACATGACGGAAAGGCAGAGTCGTGGGGGAGTGTGCTAAATTGAAGGAGAGATTCTGGAGAGGGTGAGTTTTGCATCGGACCTGGCAGAATTGCGTGTGGGGAGAGGGAGCGGTATCCTGTCTGCCCACAGCTCACACTCAACCTCACTTCCCCCAACTCTGAAATCGGGAGATCCTCCTTCCATCACTAAGAGGAAAATGCTGTCCAGCAGGGGTGCTTGGTTCCCCCAGTGTTAACGTTTGTCACAGCGAAGGCCAGGGCGCTGTCAGCTGGTATCAGCAGAATCCGTGCCCCTTTTCTTTCGTCAGCACTACTCGGCTTCCAAAGCCCTTCCATGTGGATGACCTCATCTGAGCCTCCTAACAAAGGAGCTGGAATCAGACCCCATTTTACAGCGTGTTTGGGTAGGGAAGAGAGGGTACTGGGCTGGGCAGAGGCCTTGGCACCAGACCCTGCTTCCTAGCCACGCGCTCTCGGCAAGCTGCTTAGCCCCGCTGAGCCTCAGTTTCCTCAGAAGAGTATCCTGAGCGTGACATATCATAAGCTGTATCGATGGCAGGTATGGTGAGTCCTAAATAAATGCCATTGCCAAGAAGGTGTTAGTCACCTGGTTACTGGGTTCCAGAGCCCAAACTGGAAGCTGGGTTGTTCAGCCCATGGACTTACACCTTGGGTCTTATATGGCATCTATTGCCTAAATGTACAGACATTCTCATATATAACCTCAGTAAATACCATTAATAAAATAATTTCTTAACATCTAATACTCAATCCATTTTCAAATTTCCCCTAATAATCCCAAGACTATTTTGATAGCCTTTTTTTAAAAACTAGAATCTAATCACAGTTGACACATTGCATTTGGTTATTATTTCTCTTTAGTCTTTTGAAATCAAGAACAATCCTTTTAAGTTTTTTATGACATGGACTTTTTAAAAGACCAAGCCAGTTGTCTTGTGGAATGTTCCACATTCTGGATTTATCTGATTGTTTCCTCATGGTGTGATCTAACTCCTCCATCAGCAGTTTTTCAGTTGTAACATACTGCAAATTGTTCACTTATCCTTCGTATTTTCTGTAAACTGGAAATTAAATCTAAAGGCTTCACCAGATTCATTCAGGTCAAACATTTTTGGCATGAAAGCTTCATAGGTAATGCTGTGTAATTCATATAGTGCCACTTTGCTCTTCCGTTAGCAATGCTGGGTTTGGTCACTTGGTCGAGGTGACCACTAGGTCACTCCCTCATCAAGGTGTGTTAGGAAGTAATCCATTGGGTGGTGCTTTGGCACATGGGAACTATCCTGTCCCCCCATACCTTTTACTTAGTGATTTTAGCATCTGTTGATGATCCTTGTGCTATTATATTGGTAGTTGCAAAATGATTTTCTGATTCTGTTACCCCTCTACTTATTAGCTAATGTTCTTCTGTAATCCCCTTGGAAGTTTTATTTATCTAGTTCATATGTGATATTTTTTATACAGTTTCAGCAGGTTTAAAGACCACCGAAGCCCAGCATGGAGCCTGGGTTAACGTCAGCTCCAAGTGATGATAGAGTCATATTTTGCGTGGAAGGGGAGCTGTGGCTGAGCTCTTCACAGTCCTTTTATTCTTCCAGTAAATTGCAAAACGCCTTCCTAACCCCAAAGATAACACATGGTGTCCCCCAACAAAGAAAGAACCTGAGCTTTTAAACCTCCAGGCATTCAACAGAGTGGCATGGAAGAGTGCTGGGCCAGGCTTTTTCCCTCAACAGTAAAGCCAGGGAGTTGGGCCAAGCAATTCGTTCCCAGCATTTCTACCAGCCTTACTAACGTTCTAGGAACTTGATATTACCTTCGTGTAACAGTTACTCCTGATCCTTTTATTTGAGCTTTGAACATACGTGTTTTTCACCTCGTTACAGCTCTCAAAGTCACATGTCTCCATCCATTAGAGCTTCAAGTTGGGATTTATGATCAGTAGTTCAATAATCCGTAAACCTGTACGTTCCTTTCACTTGGTAAAACATTAGATCATCAAGGAGTAGACATTATATTCCTGTTTTGTTTTCTTTTGGGTCTTACAGACTGGGGTTATTTCTGTCCCATTAATGTCACCACTGACAAAGGCCACTGAGCCCTGTTGTGATACAGGTGGTACACAGTGGTACAGCCCACTGTACATAACATTAATGGCCTCGGTTCGCTGTGGGTCCAGTTGCTTCCTCTGTGCCCTGCCGGCTGTCCTCCCAGGATGCTCCAGCTGCTCCCGTGGGTCTGCGGCAGAGCACACCCCCAGGCCCTGCCCTGTGCGCATCTCACACTCTGTGGCATGTGTGTCATGTGGCTGTTTCCTCCCTGTCACTTTGAATTTGAACTCTTTCTTTGTATTCGAGCACTCACTAGATTTGGGAATGAAAGGTCCTGGGTTCTTTTAGATTTCCTTCTGTGTACCAGGCTTAGTACTTTCAACATAATTCTTTCACATGACCTGCTTTGAAACCCTTGAAGATGGATAAACTGAGGCTCAGTACTTGAATGACTTCTGTTGTCACAGTCAGGGGCAGGAGGCTGGTAACCTCAGATAGGAGCTGGGCCAGGCCTGCAAAGGTAGACAGGAGCAGAGCCGTCTCTACGCCTGGCTCTGTGCTCCCCATAGCAGCCACAGCCACCTGGGTCTCCAGACTGGTCCCCTCGTGAGCTCAGCTAGAGGGGGAGTCGCAGCTGAGAACGAGTCCACTGTGGCCAAGCTGTGCTCCGCTGGGGGCTGAGTTTAGATGGATTTCAGCTTTTAGGGGAAGTAAACCCAACCAAAACTACAAAGCAGCCCTGGAAAACACTCAAAGGGGGATATATTTATCATGACAATTTTCTAGCAGATAGTGATGGATTGTTCTATCACAGCTGGCGCCTTAGAGGGATTCCCCAGCAGAAGGCAGGAAGGGCTGTTGAGACAGGACTGCTTTCCCCGGCAGCAAGGTGTCAGCGGGTGGCAGCCCTGCCCTTCCCTCTACCAAGCTGCTCTCTCCCAGCTTGGATCTGTAAACGAGGGGTTGGGCGAGATCGGCAAGGTCCCTTTCAGTCTGACGTTGTGTGAGCCTTGTGGGAGCTGGTGGTGTCTGGGGCTGGTGGCCTGTACAGGCTGCCACCTCTGCCCTTTTGCTGTGCCTGCTCTTGACTCCGTGTCTGGTCTCCAAGGAGAAGCAGCCCCCACCGGTGAATGGAGAACCCTCTGAGCTAAGGGCACCATGGCCACGTCAGCCCCACTGCGGAGCCTGGAAGAAGAGGTGACCTGCTCCATCTGCCTCGATTACCTGCGGGACCCTGTGACCATTGACTGCGGCCACGTCTTCTGCCGCAGCTGCACCACCGACGTCCGCCCCATCTCAGGGGGCCGCCCCGTGTGCCCGCTCTGTAAGAAGCCCTTTAAGAAGGAGAACATCCGACCCGTGTGGCAGCTGGCCAGCTTGGTGGAGAACATCGAGCGGCTAAAGGTGGACAAGGGCCGGCAGCCGGGAGAGGTGGCCCGGGAGCAGCAGGAAGCGAAGCTGTGCGAGCGGCACCGGGAGAAGCTGCACTACTACTGCGAGGACGACGGGAAGCTGCTGTGCGTGATGTGCCGGGAGTCGCGGGAGCACAGGCCCCACTCGGCCGTGCTCGTGGAGAAGGCCGCCCAGCCCCACAGGGTAAGCCCGCCCTGCCCGGCGGTGCCCCGCCGCCTTCCCTGGGATGCTGCACCTGCAGCCCCCCAAAGACTCGGCCCAGAGCATCCACCTGTCCCTGCTGCTTATCTTTCCACAGGAAAAAATCCTGAACCACCTGAGTACCCTAAGGAGGGACAGAGAGAAAATTCAGGGCTTCCAGGCCAAGGGAGAAGCTGATATCCTGGCTGCACTGGTAAGCAAGGCGGCTGGGAAGCCCTGAGGTGGTGGCCCGTGCAGAGCAGGGAGAGCCTGGGTGAGTAAGTGGCTGCCGGGAGCTGTCCCTAAGGAGCCGCTCACAGGGAGGACGGGCGTCGGACTGGCAGTGGCTCACCTGAGTTTTAGCCCAAGCTCTGCCCATCTGAGCTGTGTGGCTTTGGGCCTGTTTCTCATCTGAGAGGTGAGTGGGTCGCCTGGATGTCAGCCAGGGTCCCTTCCCTTCTCTGTGACTGTCACCTCAGCTGCAGGGTCCCTGTCTGGCAGCTGCTACTCTTCTGCCAGGTGGCTGAGGAGGCCTGGCTTCATTCTTCTTTTAAAGAGGGGGAGAAAGACACGATTTCCTGAAGGTGGAGGGTTTGGCGAGAGGGAGCTGGCTCTAGGGTAAGAACTGAGAGGGGAGGCCGAGGCAGCTAAGGCGGGCCCGACCAGCCCTGGTGGCACCGTGTTGGTGAGGACGGGCCGGCCGTGGTCACCAGTGCAGTCGGCCCTGCGTATCGCGGGATCTGCACCCGTGGACTCAACCAACCGCAGAGTGGAAATATTCAGAAAAAGGAAAAAGCGTCTCTGCCGAACATGTACAGACTTTCTTGTCATTATTCTCTAAACAGCACAGTGTAACAACTCTTTGCACAGCGTTTTCATTGTGCTCGGTGTCGTGGGTAATCCAGACGATTGAAGTGCATGGAGGCTGTGCGCAGGCCGTGCACACACTGTGCCCCTTTGTATCAGGGACTTGAGCACCCTCAGATGTTGGTATCCTCGGGGGGGGAGGCCCTGGAACCAATCGCCCCCTGATACGAGGGACAGCAGTAGTTGGGAACCAGGCAGCACCTTGTGTGCTTGATTAGAGGAAGGCGTCAGGAGGGAGGAAGCTGATGAGATGGTTCCAGTTCTCTGGGGCAGTGTGTTTGTTGGGAAGTGGGCAGTGGAGGGACATTGGGGCCCAGGGAGAGGGAAAGATAAAGGCAGAGACAGCCCAAGTCCAAGGAGCATCTCCAGGCCCTCGTCGTCATGGACACCTCCGGCCCAACATCAGTCAAAGGGGCCCTGAGGACTGCGGCCAGACTCCGGCCTGGGCAGGGAGCTGGAGGCAGGGGCGGACACGGGCCCTGAGGAAACGGTACAGTCCTGTGTGGCAGGGGCGGGGTGCACATAGACATTTTGGACCTACCAGCGGGGTACTGAGGAGAGGATTGAGCAGGCTCGGATGATGTTACGTAAGCAAGCTTCCGGGAAGAGGCAACAGACAGATTCTGCCAGGAGGGAAAGTGTGCTGGCTCGTGAGTAAGACCCCCAGAGTTCCTCAGGGCCCTGGGACATACCGGTTTGCCTAGAGCAGATCTGGCTGGCCAGGCAGGCAGAGTCGGGGTTCTGGTCACACAGGGGCTGAGTGAACTGAACTGATTCACTGCTCGCGCCTTCTTTGAGAAGAGGAGGGTGGACCAGGAGCCTTTGATAGCTCCTCCCCACCAAACGCTGCAGAACTCATGAATGGGGTAACAAGGGAAAAGACCATCGTCGTGCGCCTCCAACGCTGGGTCCTCCACCCCAGGGCAGAGCTGTCAGCCCTTCCCCTCATCCCGCCCCTGCAGAAGAAGCTCCAGGACCAGAGGCAGTACATCGTGGCTGAGTTTGAGCAGGGCCACCAGTTCCTGAGAGAGCGGGAGCAGCACCTGCTGGACCAGCTGGCAAAGTTGGAGCAGGAGCTCACGGAGGGCAGGGAGAAGTTCAAGGCCCGGGGCGTCGGGGAACTCGCCCGGCTGGCCCTGGTCATCTCTGAGCTGGAGGGCAAGGCACAGCAGCCGGCGACGGAGCTCATGCAGGTGAGAGACCCTCCCAGGGCAGCGGGTGCCAGCCCTGACATTCACTTGGATGACCTTGGGAGGTCAGTTTCTCCTGAGGCTTCAGTTTTCTCCTCTGAAATATGGGGGTGATAATCCTTAACCTCCCCACTTATTTCAAAAATTTTATGAGCGTAAAATGAAATAACTGGCATGATGTCACTTCAAAAATTAAATTTTCTACAAAAATATGCTTAAAATATTACATTTAAAAGTGTGGTAAAAGGCCGGGCGCGGTGGCTCACGCCTGTAATCCTAGCACTCTAGGAGGCCGAGGTGGGAGGATCGCTTGAGCTCAGGAGTTCGAGACCAACCTGAGCAAGAGGGAGACCCCGTCTCTACTAACAAAATAGAAAGAAATTAGCTGGACAACTAAAAATATATAGGAAAAAATTAGCCGGGCATGGTGGCGTGTGCCTGTAGTCCCAGCTACTC